TTTGTGATGGTGTGACTACACTCGGAGGGGAGAACACTCAAAAAGTCTCTACTATACTCCGTTATCATTGGCAGTACAGCGGTTACTGACGTCGCATACTTGTAGTTGACTTTTCTTTAAACGTTAATAGTAGATTTCTACTGAAATCACCGATGGATTCATCGAATCTCTCATCCTCGAATAGTGGAGTCATTTCCACTGACCGCAAAGGCATCAGTAAATATTCTGTTGCAAAAGATTTTAGTGTAATTACAACTCATTGAAGCATAATAAGTCTAGTTTTCTTCAAATAAACGGTTTTATTTGATCTTTCACCGTAAATAAACAATTTTCTCACCTTGGTGGCACATTTTCCTTTCCCAGCCATGCAAATTAGCTAATTGTAAATCGTCTTAAGGCCGGTCCATACTGCAGGCAAATACAGGTACGAAGCGAATCTGACGACACGAAGTGAAATTTTGCCCGAGTTGAAATGTATTTATCTTTTGTGAATTTGCAACGCGAATTATTTGATCTGTCGTCACCGTGAATTTCACGTTCATTTCCGCTTTCGCGCCAAGTATGAACCGGTCGTTAAACTTGGAGCATACACATCTGTATTGTGTTCTTCATATCAACTGAAACTCAAAGTTAGTTTCAACAAAAGTATCACGCTAACAGTTGGTTTCATGTGTGAACTTTTTTGTTCTTTCAATTACTTTTATTTAAAGACAGTTGCTAGGTTGTGCACGAGAGGAAAGAACAAATGAACATAAGGACTTCGCAAACAATAAAAAAACTATCTTTTAAGCTTGTAGAAATCGTATCTTGTATTGTATAGTTTCTGTAGCTTCAGCTTTTAAACTTCTCAATAGAAGACTCAAAGTTTTCTATCCTAAAAGAAGGAGGAAAAAGTCACTTATCGCTCTCGATGTTTGTTAGAGAAACCTTTTTTCTGTATTACGTTTTTGACTTTTCACCGAAAATCTGAGGAGTCCTTCGGTGAAGTTTGATTACACAAATTATAACTCAAGGTCATTAACTTATGTTTTCAATGGGAAAACAGTCGGCTAACACCACTACAAACCATTTTTGACCGCAATGAATACTGAAGTGAACCTATTATGAATTCTTGCATGATAGGAACCTGAACCTATTGACGTGTCCCTAACGAACTGAGTCTGCTAACAAAGGGTTAGGTACTACGTTTGTTGGGTTGGTAATCTACTACAGCGGATATTTTTCATAAAAGTGAAGAACTTTGCACGCGCATTTATATCCACAAAAGAAATGTTTAATTAAGACGTGGATAGACCATTTTTTTCACATCTACGTTCAGAAAACTATTAACGACACGCTTTGACAGAAAGACACAGAAACGTGATCCGCTCTTGAAAAATGGGTGTCTGGTCCATTTTAACGTCACAGGCCCCTGATGAGGCTACCAAGCTTGCTGAAGATTGGAGTCTATGCAGCCTTTTAAATCGTCATTTGGGAGCGGAGAGACAACCATTGTTAAGGTTATCGACATGGAATAGGAGGTAATCACTATTCGGTGGGAACATGATGGATAAGTCACGACATGGCAACTGAGGTAGAGCACCATCGGGGCGATGTATGTACTTTGCATGTTGACAATAAGTAATCGGCTAGCATACATGTACAGTTGTACGTTGCTGCCACTTCGTCTTATATGTCAAGAAAAGTAATTGAGGTACCTCTCCCTGTCTAGTTGTCCATTTTACATATTTAAAACTGTATTTTCAGTGGCTAACATGTCTGGACATTCGAATCAAAGGTGCCATTTTCCACACTTGTTTGGACGCGTCTTAGTACGTTTGAGGCCAATTTTGTTTTTTTACCAGCGTGACATTTCGCAATGTCAAAGATATTTTTTTTTCATGTGGCTTTTTTCTCTGGCTAATTGTATATCACTGCAAAAGTCCGTATTTTGCGTCGTATTCAAAACACTTTTGATGTTTTCTTCTGTTTTGCGCTGACGGTCAGCCTTAGTTTTCTTTCCACAGTGGTAGGCGTAACCCATGACCGGCGCATGAATATGAACCATGAAACACGCCCCAAACGTATTGTTGTAGCCATCACAGGGTTACAGAAATAGAAAACATTTAGTTCCCGTGAAATATTTCCAAATAAAAATAAATACGTATCCATTTCAAAAACATCCTAAATTTAATGTTTACCCTATTAATTGTGACCTCAAAATGAATAAAAAAGATCCTGCGTTTCCCCGCCCACAAAAAACCCTTGTGGCCGTTCGCGCTCCAAGGCTGATTGGATGACGTCATCGCCAGACGAAAGTGATAACAAAAGGTCATGTTAATGAGGGAAAATTGCCTTTTGTCACTTTCAAGTTATGCAATAATCCGGTTTAAATGTGTTGACTTGGCCCGAGGTAGGCCAGTGCAGTGTTGAAAAGTGTTTGAAGCAGGACAGCAAGTCTGCAACATGGTGCAACTTACCAAAGAGCAAAGAGTGTCTGTCGTGACGAAATTTCTTGAAAACAAGAGCTTTCAATCCACCCAAGCTGCATTTAGGGAAGCCTTCCCTGATAGGGCTCCACCTGCAAAGTCGACCAGCTGGGAAAATACCGAGAACGTGGGACAAGCCTTAATTTGAATAAGGGTCATTCAGGAAGGAGGCGCACGGTGTGAACTCCTGAAAACGTTGCTTCAGTTCGACATCAACTTGTCGAACAGCCAAGGGGAACCAGTTGTAGGAGGAATGTGTAAATAATTGGTGTGCCCCTGATATGTTATCCAGGACAAGCAACAGAGGACAACCTCATTCACTGGTTAATCCATGATGCCCCATTTTCAAGACAA